TTTTTTGCCGAAATAATTAAATAATTATTAATTTTTTAATAAAAAATTTGTAACAAACATTACATCTTTTCCATAAATATTTTGGTTGATCCTTTTTAATTTTATCTTTAATTTTATCTTTTATCTTCCTATTAGAGATAATAGTTCGAGTATTTTTTTTTTTTGTTAATTGTGACTTTGATTGTGTTAAAAAGAATTCTAAAGTTGTTTTTTTTTTTTTGTGCAAGGAGGTTAATTTACGTGGACACTTGACTTACCTTCGTACTGTGTGTTACACGACATTATTTATTATTTGTAACAAAACCAGACACAGTCACAGTTTTACCAAGGATTTCAGGGATCAATGAAGAAATTATTGATTGCTATTACTAAAATAGAATTTCGGTCATTTTTATTTTTAGTCAAAAATAATGCAGATCACGTTCCAAGAAAAATCGCTTTGCTTTTAACATTTTTCAATGAATGAGGAAAAACAAATCATGCTCACTAATACTAATTTATCATTGCAACAATTACGATCTAACTCAATAAAAAAATGTTTTTTTTAAAAAAATTAATTTTAAAATCTTTTTTTAATTTTTTAAAAAAATGGCAACATACGAAAAAGACATTAAACAGGAATTAAGCAAGACGAGAGGAGATTACGAGAAGGCAGTGGGAGAAGTTGGAGGAATGGTAAAAGAAGTTAAGTGAGTTGGAAGATGAATTAATGAAGGGGAGCTTGAGTGGAAAACAAAAGAAGAACTTGGAAGAGAGAAGAGATAGGTTGTTAAAAGAAAAAGAAGAGTTGAAGGTGGACAAGATGAATAAGTGGAACTTGGTGGTGGAGTTGCAAAAAGCTTTGGTGAATTTTATTAAAGAAGGCAATGAACGAATTGCTTTGATATATATATATATATATATATTGTTTTATTTGTTTGCTCGTTTGTATATGTGAAATATTCATTTTTCATTTATTATTAAATGAAAAAAAAAATTCTTTTTTTGATAACTTGTGATTTTTCTTTCTGCTGCTTCTGTCAATCGGTCTATTTTAGGAGAAGGTAAGCAACTTTTGATAATCCTTATGTTTTCAAATCTACACTGCTTCTCTCGCTATTGTTTTTCTTTACAAGAATTGAAAGTATGATTTGGGAACCTCTTTTCACAACCAAAGGCTCAATTGACACCAGAAATTCAAATTATGAGTCCAAGGACTGACTTGTGTGATACTTGTTAACATTTTCGAAATGGTTTACATTATAATGCTCACCAAGAGGAAGATTTACTCAAAAGATTTAAAGAACATCTGTCCAAGGCAAGATTAGAAAGAAATTATTATAATAAAAATGCCAAATTAGCTGAAGAACAAAGAAAATTAGTTATTCAAAGGGTAAAACACAATATTGCAGTATTGATGCTAATGCTCATTATAGTTATGATTGAGCACAAAATGTTCATGTACCTCATTCAGATCAACAGGCAAGTAAAATTTATTATCTTAGTCCATGTAAAGTCCATTTATTTGGTATCCAAGATGAAGCACTAAGGAAACAAATTAATTATGTTCTTGATGAAGATGAAATTATAGGAAAAGCTCCTAATGGAACTCTTTGTATGATTTTTGATGGAATAAAGGAATTGAATAAAGGTGAAAAGCATTTAAAGATTACTTGTGATAATGCAGGCGGTCAAAATAAAAATAATGTAACAATTTGGTTTTATTTATATTTGGTGATTTGTGGTTATTACAAAAGGTATTGAATTGAATTTCATGGTTTCAGGACATACCAAATTTAAATATGATGGTAGTTTTGGTTTAATAAAAAAAAAACTCTATGGGAAATCAAGAGTGGATTGTGTAGATCATGTGGTTGGTGCAGTGAAAAGATCTAGTCCAGCAGGATTAAATAAAGCACAATGTTATGAAGGTGGAAAAGGGTTTCAATATTCGGATATCAAATCTATATTGGGTATTTATTTTAAGAAACTATCAAGCATCCAGAAATATCAAAATTTTCTTTTTGAAGCATCTAATCTTGATGTTGTCAAAGTTCAGGAGTTCAGGAGGTTGCCAATGGAACTTTTGCTGAATTCAATTTATTGAAAGCCAAGAAAGGAGATATTTCTGAAGAAATTAAAATTTTATCTATTTTAGTGTTAACACCACCTCCTTTGGATTATAAAAGGCAAGAATACCTTTATAATAATATTTGCCCATTTGTTAGAAATGAATACAAAGATATTGCTTGCCCAAGACCATTCTATACCAGAAATGAATAGAATAAAATCACTTCCATGACTTTATCACTCATTAATTTGTCATTATGTTTATTCTTTCAATGAATATTCTATTTTTAAAGTAAAAAAGTACTAAAATAATTTATATACTTAATATGCCCTCATAAAAAAGAATCAAGGTAAATATCCTAAATGAACAACAACAAGTAAATAAAGAACTAATTGAAGAAAATGAATTATTACATGATTTATTGGAAGATAGAAAGCAAGAAATTAATACAATCAAATCCGAAAAGAATAAGAATTGACTGTCAAGCAACAAGCAATTGACCAACTTCAACAAGAAAAAGAAGCAATACTCAAGGAAAAGCAGTGAATTAGTAATAAGAATGAAACTTTAAAAGAAGAGTTAAAAAGACTTCCGAGTAAGTGAACAATAAGAAGCAGATTCAAACAAGAAGCAATGAAAAGAATCCACCAAATATTGGTAGACATGAGGGAGAGATTCTCTCACTGTAGTAAGAATATTGAACAAGATTTAAGGGAATTGATTAGTAAGTCATTAAGGAATCAGTTTATGTTTGTTTGTTTTCAAGACAATTTGTATAGGAAATATATTCAAAATTATAGCAAAAACCAAGAGAAAGTCATTGAAGAAATTGTTTACAATTACTATGAATCTAAAAATAAAAGGAATTGAGTACATCAAAGTGCACAGAACACTATTATTGGTCGAATAAGAAGCAGAGAAAACTTTAGAGATAAACCTGCAAAAGTCTTCATTATTAAGGATATTATTGAAAGTAAGATTGAAAAAATGAAAGCAATAGTAGAAGAACAGAAAAACAGAATAGAAAGTCTAGAAATTGATGCGGAAATAGAGCAAGAAGAAGCCAAAAAACACTAGGTAAATCTGGAGATTGGAGAAGGTTACAAGCATTTGAAACGGCCTTAAAGCATGATGCTACAATGGGCAAACTTATAGATCGAATATATCTATTGGAAAATAGTTTGTTAAGCAAAAATTAGGAAATAAACTGAAAAGATTATCTAGCAACCAAAGAATTACAAGCTTTACCAATACAACAAAAAGAAATTAATTTACACAAACTCAAAAAACTAGTAAGCAAAGTATAAGAAAAGACAAAGGAGAAATCCCAAACTTTTATTATTCAGAAAAGTAAGTATGAGATTAGAACATAGAGCTTTGGAAATAGCAAAAGGAGATGAGCAAGAGTGTAATTTTTGCTTTCTAGATTTTTGATGACCCAACTCTCCTTAATTTTGATAATGCTCCTGCTACTCATCAAATGGTAGCTTGTAATACTCTTGATGGTTACTCTGACATAGTTTTTATTTGTAATAATTGTAAAAAAGATTACAATAACAATACTCTTCCATGGTGTGAGAAATGTGGTAGGCTAAAGAGAAATAGAAATAGATGCTTTTGTAGTTATTTAAAAGCTAAATCAACTAAACCACTATCCGATGATGAACTACTTTCATAAGCTTTCAGTTCTTGTCTAGAAAACAAACCAGAGGGTTATCTTCTACTAAAGAAGAATTAAAATTGAAAGAGAGGAAGTGGCCAAAAAATTCCAAGAAAAATCCAAAGAATGAAGTAAAAGACTAAAACAAGAATCATTAGATAAGATAAAGGAGTTAGAAGAAGAGAATGGTAACTATAAGGAAGAAATTAAAAAATTAAAAACACAGAACAGTTAACTTCTCAACAGCAAGTTGTTCATATTGAGATTAAAAGAGATTAAGGGATGATCTTGACAGAAAATAAGAAAGTAATTTAAAGAATATTTCTTTTATATAAATTGAAATTCATTTCAACTATCAAAGAGAATGATAGTTATGTTCCTTTAGATGAAAGTTAATATTCTGGCTTTTGATATCTTATTGATAATAATTCCAATGATAATAAAAAAGCAGTACTGATATTTGAAAATATAGGGAGTAATTTTCTCACCTTGTTCCTTTTTCAAAATACTTCTGATAGTACTATAATTCTTGGGGTTCCATAGTATATCCGATGTAAATGAGTTTCATATTAATTGTTTTTGTATAGGGGCAATTCTGTATATCGCTTAAATGTGACATTATAAAATCAATTGTGATGATAATAACTAAATTATGATCCCTGAAATTCTTGTAATACCAATGGTTACTTTGTCTGGTTTTGTTGCAGCATGCCCCATTTATACGTTGATCAAATCGCTCGCGTTTAAACATCAATCATTTCAAATAAAAAAATAAAATGACTGATTTGGATGACTTACGCGATAAAAAATGGATTTGCAGTTCAAACAAAGCACTCAAACTAAGGTTTGGTAGGTTCTTTTCTTAAAGCATTCATGAAAAAAAAAAAAATATATATATATATATATATATATGTATGTATATACTCATAACTTTTGCATCTATTTTACTTATTATTGTTATCATCGATTGTTATACTCTCCCTCTTACTCTCCTACTATTTGTTATTAATATTATTAATAATAATCTCCTTTCTTAGTAAGACCTTCATTGTCAAATGATGATTATGTTAATAATGATAATGATAATGATAATGAGTTGGATACTGTTTATTATGATGAATTTTCTCCTGAATTTACATACCCAATATTTGGTGAAAAAGAACAGATATATGGTTACAAAAATTTGGCCATAAAGGTTTTTATTTCTTTATTTAATAAGAAGAGTGAGAAAAAGAGAAATTATATCTAAATTATATACATATATATTCTTGTTGTTATAATTACAAATAGATGTATTATGCATCTGGTAGTCTTGCCACATATTTTGATGTTTCTTATGATAAACAAATACAAGGTGTTGGATCTAAATCAATTGCTGACGAATTTATAGTAAACATTAAAAAGTATATCCCTGACGGTAAAAAAATTAATAATTGAAAAAATTGACAAGACAATTTTTTTTTTAAAAAAAATTATGCTCATTAATTAATATTTTTTTATAAAAAAAATTATAGATTTTATTACAAATTATGATGTTTTTATACAAACTGTTCAATCAGATGCATATAGTTTTAAACCAATGGGAGAAAAAATTTGTGAATATAATATAGACGATGAAGACGATACATCATATGAAATATACATGGTTGTTGATTATATACATGTCTATCTATCTATCTATCTATACATCTATATAATCTCTAATCTTTATGTAATATTTATTAAAATAATAATTTTTTTAAATTTATAATCTATATAGGGAACATTTTTGACACCAGGTCTTAAACAATACCATAGACGACTACGAACATTTGTATTATATTATATTGAAGGTGCTTGCTTTATAGAAGAGGATGAAAGATGGCAGATTTCATTCATGTAAATTGATTTTTTTTCTTCAATTGTCTTTCCTCTTTCTCCCACAGTATATATATATATATATATTAATATTAATTTGTTTTTATTTTAAGATTTCAAAAAAAAGTTGCAGGCGGAGAGAATATTTATAGTATAGTCGGATTTTGTACAGCATATCCTTATTATTTTTATGATCTTGAGAAGATTATTAATGGAACTAAAAGTAATATGAATAATGAGAAATCAATATTACTCATAAACGAAGACATAAATCCCATAACTAGTATAAGGATGAGAATAAGGTATATTGTTTTTATATAATAACATACTATTACTATTATTATTACTATTATTATGATAATATATTGATGTAATATAATTTGTGTAGTCAATATGTAGTTTTTCCACCTTTTCGAAATAAAGGTCATGGAGGTAAAAATTTTTTCGTATTAGTAAAGATATTTGATTTATTATTATTATTTATTTATTATATGAAAAATTTTTTCTAATTCTAATTATTCTTTGTTTACATAATCTGATCAAAGGTAAACTTTATCAAGCATTATATAATAATTATTTGGCAGATTCTAGAATTAAAGAAATAACAGGTAATTAGTTTATAACATATTAAAAATACATTATTATTATTATTTATTTTACAACATAATGTTTTGATTTTTTTATATTTCCAGTCGAAGATCCAAATGAAGCATTTCAAGAATTGCGAGATCGTAAAGATTTAGCATTCATTATGGAAAATAAATTATTTGAGGGATTAAAAGCTCCTGTTGATAAAAAATTAATTGAATCGTTAAGAAAAAAATATAAATTTGAAAAAGTATACTATAGTAATTTTTATTGTATATATATGTGTGTGTTTGCTAATTGATTAATTAATTTATCATATTAATTTTTCCTTTAAAAAAAATTTGAAGCGACAATTTTCACGTTGTTTAGAAATTCTTTTATTAAGAAGTTTAGACAAGACAAACGTTGAAGAATATAAAGCGTATAGATTACAAGTAAAGGAACGGCTATATCATTGGAATGCGGTATTCTTTTAAAAAATAAATTATTTTCAAAAAATTATTATATATCTAATAACTATAAATTATGATATTTACATAGGAATCATTGAGACAGTTTACTGTAGATGAAAGAAAACAACATTTAGGAGAAACGTTTAATTCGTTAATAGAAGAATATCATTCAATTATTTTGAAATTATGAATTCATTATATTTTTATAATTCAAAAAATATATGAATTAATTAATAAATAAATAAAATAATTACTACTGCTGCTACTACCACGACTAAAATTATTAAAATCACATTTGGTTTAAATCACTCAATCAATCCATCCATCTATTTCATTCGTCAAATCTATATCATTTTTATAAAAAATCTTTTTCAATATCAAGGAAGGAATAAAATAGCTAATATAAAATAATGGAATTATTTAGAAGCAAGCTTTTGAATTAGAAAGAAAACATGAGTCAGTATTAGTATTAGCAAAATTACATAAATTAAAAATTTCTGCGCCAAAATACAAGTTTCAAAAAAATATAATGAAAATATTTTTTTTTAGTTGAAATGTTTTTTGCCAAATATATTTGCCATCAGAATCATATCAATAATGGTAAATGATATCAAAATAAAGTTTTTTTAATTCACTATGTCGTCATCACGTCGATTATAATTATAACGATGATAAATAAATAAATGGGTCAAAAAAGAATATAATGAACGAACTTGATTTAAAAAACATTTTTGTTTATTATATAGATAATAAAATTTATCCGTTATAAACGTCTTTCTAAATTAATTCAAACATTGAAATTATGAAATAATTATTTGGGACTTTATATAAAATGGCACTATTATGTAGTTATCCACAAAAAATATCCGCAATCGCCTAATTGATTTTTAAATAAGGATAACACGCACCCAACCCACCAATAAAAATTGGATATTCTGAGGTTTCACGAAATTAGTGGATATTTTTTGTGGATAACTATATACACAATTATAATGGCACTAACCAATATTTTGAACATATTATTGTGTCCGATTGGACATTGGCTAAAATTAGTTTAAACTGGCACCAAATCCAAATTTAAAAGTTGTTACATATGTATTTTGAAAATCAATATTAACGTACTAGCATTTAAGTATGTGATCTAATTCACTATTTTGAAAAAAAATAAATTTTTTTAATAAAATGTCATACCATAAATTATTGCCAGCTGGCAGAGTACTATTTGTATATAAAATTTATGCTGAAATAAATGCTAATGCCGCATCAATCACAACCGATACTTATAACAATGATTCATCAAATACTTCTATTAAAGAAACTCTAAAGGCAACATTTTTATCATTAGTAAGTGAAAACAAAGAACTTTTAGAAAATGAAAAAGAATATTGCAAGGAAAGATATATTTATGATGAAGAATTAGAGTATGCATTGCACAAAATTGGTGAGCCAAGAGAATGTAAAAATTGCAATGCAACAAGATATTCTACTAGATTTTGTGAAAACTGCATTAGCTTACACCTACAAACCCTTTTTAATACTTGGACTTCAGGAAATAAAATTGTTGATGATTTTATTCAAAAATGCCAAAAACTCTCAGCCCTTCCAAAAAGTATAATGGAATGGATCCCATTTGATCAATTCAAATATATTGAATATTTAACTAAAGGAGGATTTGGTAGTATTCATGTGGCAAGATGGACAAGAGGATGTATAAATGATTATGACGAAGATAAAAAGGGAATTTAGTTATTTTGGACCTCATGGAGTAGTTTTAAAATGTTTAAATAATTCAAATAACATTGGAAATAAATTTTTTGATGAGGTCAGTAGTAATTTCATTTAAAACACAAATAAATAATTTGTATATTATAACATAATATTAGATTAATTGAGTTTATCTATATTCCAGGTATTGAATTATTGTAAAATTAAATCAGCAATGATTGTTTGTTGCCATGGTATAACTAAATTCCCAGATAATGGAAATTATGCAATGGTCCTGGGTTATGGGCCAGAAGGAAATTTAAGAGATTATTTACAAAAAAATCATTTAAAAGACAGAATTACATTTTTAAATATTTATGTAGTTCATTATATCATATACATGATAAAGATTTAATTCATTGTGGTTTACACAGTGGTAATATACTAGTACAAGGTGGTGGTTGTTGTATCACAGATTTAGGATTATGTGGGCCATTTGATGATAAATCATCAAATAAAATTTATGGAATCATGCCATATATTGCACCTGAAATTTTTCAAGGAGGGAAAAATACAAAAGAATCAGATATTTACAGCATTGGAATGTTAATGTGGGAAATATTTTCTGGACATCCACCATTTGATAATAGACCTCATGATATAGATTTAGTTTTTAATATTTATGATGGATTAAGACCAAAAAATTTGTTGAATATGCCAGAAGATTATAAACAAATGATGCAAAAGTGTTGGGATGCTGATCCATCTAAAAGACCAACTATTTGGGAGCTTTGGGTATTTGCTGAAGATTATTTAGCTAAAGTTCATAAAGGTGAAGTTTTAAATAATAGTGGTGGCAATGGTGGTAATGATAATGGTGATGGTTCACAATTGAAAAAATATGAATCACATCCACAAGCATATAATACAAGTAGAATATTCAATGTTATTAATCCTAAATCAAATGGTATTAGTTCTAGTTATGTAACTTCAGTATATGAACCTAGAATTCCATCTACTAGAATTGATATTATTACTAATGGTAAATATCCTGACTAATTGATTAACTATTACTTATTATATTTATTATTTAAATATATTTTTTTTTTCTAATTAGTGGAAAATACAATTTATGAAGATGTCATTGTAAGTGATGAAACTGAAAAGATTGGCAAAGCTGATGAAAATATTTGAAGAGAAGGAATAAGTTAATAATACTTTACAAATTTTGCTTTTAAAGGTTTAGGACTATTACAATTATTTATTAGAATGTTAGAAATTGTAATTTCACCTATAAACTTTATAGTATTGATTTATTCTTTGAATATTCATCTCCATTCATTATATTATATATTTTTTAATGCTCTTAATAAATCATTTTTTTTATTTATTATATCTTCTAATTTATTATTTCTTAAATATAATTACAGGGTGAGTTGATCCACTGTCTTCTATCATCATCATGTTAATCACCCAAATCATTGTTAATTTCATTTAAAAATTTGTTATATGATTAATAAATGTTCTTTTTATTTGTTATATATCTTCATTTAAGTTTTGAAGTTGGATTTAAACAGTTTAAAATAAATAAATAATCATGTCAAAGATAATATGCTTTACCTACATATGAAGAAGATGATGATTGAAGAGAACTTTAAAATTTAAATAATAAATATCTGATTATGTTTAATTTTAATCAATTATATTTAATATACATACTTACTCGGACTTGAATTTGGTTCCTTTTATCAGTAATGATTATATTTATCTATAGTATTTTTTTGTGCGCGGTTGGATGATTTTTAGACAATGTAGTATCGGTATTGAGTATTAGTATTATTTAAAAATCTCGATTAAGATAATCATTAAAATAATAACGACTATTTTAACATTGGATGACATCATCTACTTTCTGATGAACACAACGTATAAAACGAAAAGAGCGAAATTGGTGATATTTTGGTGAAGCCCCCCCACAAAAGATATTTTTTACGCAAATATTGATATCAATTCTTGAGCAATATAAAAAAGAATGGGGGAGTACAAAAATATATTTAGATGAGGAAATTTATGAATCCGAGATTTTTTTAATCACCAAAGAATCATTTGACGAACCTCAGAATTTCATCTTGTTTCAATTTCTTTATTAAAAATATGATAGAAATGATTTCTGCTATTTCCGCTAAAAATGCAAACACTGCTGCAGCTGTTATGTCATTTATCTCATTCCTGTGTCTTTTATTAGCGAACTTGGGGACACCAATTATCATGTCAATCTATATTGCGAGTTATGAGGGTGTTGATGGTCTAAAGGACATTTAATATGATATTTGGAGTATACAGCGAATGTGCGCAAAATAAAAATTCAATTTATTCTTTATTCATATGTATGCGCGAATAGTAATCTTAAAAGTCCGGGACGTCCCTAGCGGTAGAAAATTTTTGTTGATTATAAATGCCATTGATAACGTGTTTACTTATTAATCATATCATTAAAGTGTGAAAATATATTATATATACATAATAATTGATTGAATATATTTTAGGCGTAATAACATCATTCATATTGTTTGCATTGGCATTTATGCACGTAGTCAAATTATGAAGAAAAGAGTGACATGGTCTTTGCATTATTCAGTTTCTTTATTATTTTGTTAGCATTGGGAGGACAAATTGACGTGGTTTTTACCTCCAAAATTGGTTTAGTGAACCCCATTTAGTCTAGGCAAAGCAAAATTAAAGATTGGGGGTAGTGCAATTAGTCTTGTGATTATACCCCTCGTACTCTCACTCTTGTCAGTTTTTTGCATTTTTACATTGGAGATTGAGCTGTAAGTTAAGGAGGTGGTGACATCAATGGTTCCAAAAATATGAGCACAACAATGACCAGCCAGCAGCAACCTGTTCCTCAACAATCTCCACAATTTCCACAATCATATCCAAATCCTCAATATTATCAATATAATAATGATGCAAATCAATACTCAAATCCATATTCAAAATCCACAATCTTATCCAAACCCTCAATCTTATTTGAGCACCAACCATCAACCTGTTATTTATTTTTATTTTTTTTAACCCAATGTATCATCAATTTAATTTTTGTGTTAACATTAATTAGTAATTTTGATAATTATTAAGATTAATAACACTGTATAAACATCAATTTACATTAATAATAATTATGACTCTGCATCACCTTCACAAACTTGATCATTATTGTGATCCGTGAATGAATCGGAGCATCCCACGTAGTTGCTGTATAAAAGCTAAATCCGATAAATATGGGTTCTATTATTGATTCAATTTATAATTTTGATATGAATTTGAATTTGGTGCGCAACATATAAAGAAAGTGTGTAAACACACATTCCGTCAACTTTGTCATGCTCAAAAGGTATCCACTCGAATCTGAGTTGGGATATAATAAATTATCAACTATATATAATATTTTCAAATGTCCAAGTATTGAAAAAATTCTGCAAGTGTAATATGTCAGAGTATCTTGTTGATTTATACTTTTGATTTACCCAAGACTGGATGGAGCCGTAAATAATCATTCAACATTCCCAAGATGCTTTTTTTCAGCCTTACATTTTTATAAAAAGTAAATTAGTCAATATCATAAACAATATACCAAACACTCTCCCAATTGGATTAATAGGTAAACGAAATGAACCGAGATTTTTGTATACTTATTATGCACTAATTTATGCCCTATCTGTTTCTTTACAATAAGGTATTCCCATGCCTTCACTTGTTCCTTCCAATCGCCCACCATTCTTAATCTCCGACTTCTTTCTTCTTCAAGTTCCTCTCTTTTACCCTTGTAATTTTTAGTCTTTAATTTCCTCTTCAATTGGCCCAAATTCTCCAACTTCTCAGCACCCTCAAACTTTTCTGATTTCTCAACAAATCAATATATAATTCAAACCTAAACTTCCTTTGTGATATTAATCAAAGCAAAACGTGTATGGTTTCTAAAGAAAAATGCTTTCGTAATGAGATGATACATATGGAAATGTTCTTAATAACTTTTATTTTATCCCTATTTAAAGCCAATTTAGTGACAGTTTATTTATTATTAAGGGGTTTCACTTTGAAACTGTCACTTATATATCATTACGAGGATTTTAAATTAATTGGTGTAATTTGAAATTTAAAAAAATTTTTTTTTGGATAAGAAATTAATTAAATCGACAATTGCTCACTAATGCTTGTTTGTATTATTTAATCAAATTTTTGGCATTTTTATGTGAAAAATAAATTTATAACTTGAAGAATATGAATAAATGAAAACGTATATAGATAGAGAAAAGGTATATGGAAGTGATTTAATATTGATAAGTTTAAACATTAGCAGATATTTTAAATACCAACTATTACCGTTAAATTTTATTATATTTCTTGATGATACAGTAATATACAAATAGAAATTTTATTACAGGAATTAATGTTCTTTGTATCAGAAAACCACCGTAAGTCCAATTTGTGACCCAATAACAGATAAATGAAAACTCGCAATATTTGCAATAAACAATAAACGATGCGATTTAAATTTGGGAATTTTGTTGACTATGAAGGGAAGGGGTCAATGATTCACTTCCAAGGCATCAGTGACACCTACACCACGTGTTCCTTTCATATTTTTGTTTGAAAACACGTGGCTATGACTCGCTTGACGTTTCGGCTCTATTTTCTACCATCAACTCAATTATTTGTCAATTCAGAAATAAACCTTTAATCGCAATTATCTTCTATGGTAAATGATCTGGTGGCGTAGAATCAGAAAGAATCGTTACGAAATAGAATATTCGTATTAGCCAAAATTCTTTAAACTGCCAAGATAACGTTTATAATAAATATGAGATGAACATTGTACATTGTATGATCTAGAACGTTTCTTTCTTTAAATGTACTGATAGCTAGCTGTATTCCTGCCGGAGTCATCGGATACGAAGATCTATTTTTAGTTTATATTACAAAGTGATGGATTGTTATCATTGTATTAGATGTTACGCGATCATTCATTGCTTCATTTACGCATCACCGCCAATTAGGAAATGATAGAAATTGCAATAATTTATTTATGAAATTCTCAGAGTACAAGGCAAATTATGATTGATTGGATGATGAAACAAATGAATTGATGTACATTTGACAATTTATTAATTGTGTTGATTTATAATTATTTTTTTTTCGTCGTAACTTGGTTAAACATTAGTGGAATAATTTAATGTTCATACTAATTAACTTTATGTCCAAAATAAAAGGAATTATTAATGATATTCCATGTTATACTAAATATATACTTTGGTATGATGCATGAGGATGCAGCTATAATCCTTCTTTTGGAAATTTTGAGAAAGGGTATATGCGTGCAAAAAAAAATTTTTTTTTTTTTTTACGCAAAAGATTGTTGGTTTTATTTATAGTTTAATAATTTCCTCGTGATATGAAAACCTTGCCATCCTTTTAAATTTATTAAATTCATTTAGTCTTTATTTTGGTATTGTGCGTTGGTTGTAAGCGATAAATTAATTTGTATTGATTTGATAAATTTAAAACTTTCATTTCATTCAACATCTTAAACCGTTGAAGAATGAATCAACTCCTCAATCTTATCATCAATGAAAATAGTAGTTAGGATGTTGCGGATCGTTGCTGTTACTGATATTCGTAATCGAAACGATCACGAAATGAATTTGATATTAGATATATTCAAATATATTAATGCTCAATTTAGAAGCAATATTAATACCGAAATATAAATAGATAGTCATTATTAATCATCAGATAGAAATCATGACAAATGCAACGGAAATTAGTTGGTAAACGCGAACGACGGCTAAATTATACCACATAGTGATAATGGTTAATATGGTTATATGTGTAATTGTAAATTTTCCGCAGAGCAAAATAAATAATTAATAAATTGATGGAATTATTCGTTATTCGTTATTCTCAAAAAAAATTTTTTTTTTTTCACTATTCAATAAAGATAATAATGTCATTTGAAAAATTATTATCACTAGAAAGAAGAGGGCTTGTGTATAAAATACATAACGAAATGTATAATGAGGCTTTATTGAATTCTGAAATAAAAAATAAAAAAAAGGATTTTTTCTTATTAGTCAAAAAAAATAAAAAACTTTCTGAAAATGAAAAGCAATATTGTAGAGAAAAGTTTATTTATGATATTGAATTAAACAATGCAGTTTATGAATTGGGTGTACCAAAAATATGCAGAAAGTGTAGATCAATAAGATATTCTGACAGATTCTGTGAAGGTTGTATCAGCCTACAACTACAGAATCTTTTTGACACCTGGACATCCGGTAATTATTTGGTTGATGAGTTCATTCAAAAATGTCATATGACTTCAGCTTTACCAAGACATATTTTAGAATGGATACCTTATAATGATCTTCTAAAAGTCACAAAATTAACAGAGGGTGGGTTTAGTTCAATTTATACGGCCACTTGGACAAGAGGAACTATTAATGATTATAATGAGGCGAGGAAAGAATTTAGTTATTTTGGACCACAACATGTAGTCTTGAAGTCTTTAAATGGTTCGAATAATCCAGGAAAAGATTTTTTTCGTGAGGTTGGTAGCTTTTATTTAGACAAAAATAAATAATATTGTATTTATATAACATTAGTATTAATTGATTTTATATATTTAATTACAGGCAATGAATTATTGTAAAATTAAATCAGAATTGATTGTTACTTGCTATGGTATAACAAAATTCCCACATAATGGAAATTATGCGATGGTTCTTAATTATCATCCAGAAGGAAATTTAAAAGACTATTTACAAACAAATCATTCAAAATTAACATTAAAAGACAGAGTCACACTCTTTAGATATTTATGTGGCGCATTATGTTATATACATGAAAAAGATTTAATACATTGCGATTTACATAGTGGGAATATATTAATGTATGGAGGTGGTTGTTATATCACAGATTTAGGATTGTGTGGACCGGTGGATGAGGAATCATCAAATACAATATATGGAATTGTACCATATCTCGCACCTGAACTACTCAGAGGCAACAGCGATGCAAAAAATACCAAAAAATCTGATATTTATAGTATGGGGATGTTACTGTGGGAAATATTTGCGGGCCATCCACCATTTGATGATAGATCTCATAATCACCTTTTAATTTATGATATATGTAGAGGTTTACAACCACCAATATTACCTGGAATGCCTGATGATTATGTACAAATGATGCAGAGGTGTTGGGATGTGGATCCATCAAAAAGACCAACTAATGAAGAGCTGTTTTATTTTGCTATAAATAAACATAATGAAGTTTTTGAAAATAAAAGTTTAACAAATAAGAACTTAAAAAATAAAAGTTTAATAAAAAGATTATTCATATTTTCTAAAATCAAAAAACATGAAATTGATTTTAATAATGATGGCAATAGCAGCAGTGGTGGTAGTAGTGCTTTGCAACAAGTACACAAACCACATCCAGACGCATATCATACAAGCAGAATATTGGATGAAGAGATTGCTAAATCTAAGAGCTTTAAAAGTTATACAAGCAATAGTTCGTTAAATAATCTTGATTGTAACTCTTTTTTCTAAATGTTAACAAAGGTGAATAAAAATTTTATTATTAATTAATTGGAAAATATTATCCATTACTAACAATATTAATTAATTAATCACAATAGTAAAAGAAGAGAATCGACGAATGACTAATTTAATCTCCACTATAAATTTATTCATTATCTTTTTATTTATCTTTTTATTTTATCCTTATTTTGTTTCTTTAAAGCTAAATTATAATAATGTTTTGAAATAATAAATCTTTTGACTCTTGTTAAATCGTGGTATCATTTCGGTTGATTAACAATTATGGCTTAACTTTTGCTTACTCTTCCAAATAATTTGGTGCTTGTCAATTAATCAGTTTGCAATTTTACTTTAGTTTCCTTCCTCTCTTTTACACCTGGACGAGTCTGTGAGCGCACTCAATTGCACCAGATAATTTGTAAATAAATAAAGATGCCCTTTTACAAAGCTATAAAGTTCCTTTTATTCACTTGTGATCGATTTACATTTATTGGCCGATTGCAAACTCGCTTTGAAAAAAGCTTAAGTAGCTTGTTTAACAGACTAACATTTACAATTACAATAATACTACCAGTATTTCCGATTAACCTTTGTACGATACTTTATTAACACCCACTAGTTAACCAACTTCAGTCTTGACCTTTTCTTGCTCACTAAAGCAAATTACGTTACTAATCATGTTATTTTTAAAAGCTTATTGACGTTTAATAAAAATGATGATTTTATCATTGTTTTATTTTATCAGAACGTTAACTATCTATTATTTTCCTCAGAAGTTATTCTTCGTTGATCACTGCAATAAGGAAGAATAAGGAAAATTAAAGGTTTATTATTGGAAAGTAACTGAATTGTATTGAGTAAAAAAAAGATTTGGCATCTTGGGAACAACTTATGAAACAAAGGAGAGATTGGGATACATATTTATGTGATATTTTATATTTTATTAGCATTTAAATTGACATAATAGTTTTACATTTCGTCAAACAGCATTAATAGTGACAAACCTGTTGCAAGTTTATGGATCTGATAATAATTTCTTTTATATTTTACACCTCAATAAAATATAAATAAGCAAACAAAATATTATTAATGTAATGGATCATTACTACTTTTACCACAGCGGGCTTTGGAAAACGATAGACGTCCAAAAGATGTTTTAACAAGAATTTTTGCTATATTTTCAATTAGTTTACTAGGCCTGCTTTTATCAGCTCACTAAAGCAAATTACGTTACTAATCATGTTATTTTTAAAAGCTTATTGACGTTTAATAAAAATGATGATTTTATCATTGTTTTATTTTATCAGAACGTTAACTATCTATTATTTTCCTCAGAAGTTATTCTTCGTTGATCACTGCAATAAGGAAGAATAAGGAAAATTAAAGGTTTATTATTGGAAAGTAACTGAATTGTATTGAGTAAAAAAAAGATTTGGCATCTTGGGAACAACTTATGAAACAAAGGAGAGATTGGGATACATATTTATGTGATATTTTATATTTTATTAGCATTTAAATTGACATAATAGTTTTACATTTCGTCAAACAGCATTAATAGTGACAAACCTGTTGCAAGTTTATGGATCTGATAATAATTTCTTTTATATTTTACACCTCAATAAAATATAAATAAGCAAACAAAATATTATTAATGTAATGGATCATTACTACTTTTACCACAGCGGGCTTTGGAAAACGATAGACGTCCAAAAGATGTTTTAACAAGAATTTTTGCTATATTTTCAATTAGTTTACTAGGCCTGCTTTTATCATGCACATAAATTAAAGGAGCCATCACCACAAACGAATCAAATGCCTCTGGATATTTTATAGCATAACATAATATAATCATTCCACGAAGTGATCCATCCACCTGCCAAAACAATTTTCCGATTTCTTCTCAATTCTACTTCTTCTTCTTCCTCACCATTATTAATGCTCTCTGCTAATTTTGTTCACGAACATGATTAATAACCAAATGAGTTGCCTCAATCAATGATTTCCAATTTTCTACACATGAATGTAGTCCACTTGATCTTCCAAATTTTGGTAAATCACTCGAAAGCCTTTTTCCAAGATTGGTTTAACATGCTCAGAAAGTCCACCTCCATAATCGTTCAGACCATGGACAAAGATTATGTCACTGTTATGTTGTCCTTTGTAATGGTGGTTGGTAGTTTCCATGTTCGATAATGTATGAAATGCTTTTTTGTGCTTTATTATTTAATATTGGTGAAGCGGGAGAGGAAAATGTAATGTTGTGATGTATGTAAATGTATGGTGGTGAATGAAGTGTTTGTTTGTGAGGAGAATATGGTAATGAGGAATTTCCATAAATCAAGTCCTTAATATATGAAGTGCTTTAGAAATAGATTCCAAAAACATACTATAGATAGTATTTTTAGAATATCCAAAGCTTTTGCTTTTAAATTTATTTCAGTCATATTTTTGGCAAATTTGTGGGATGGTCCAAATAATGGTAAATGTGATTAATTTTATGAGGAAGAGAGTTAGGGAAAGACATACGATGAATTGTAATATTTAGTTTTATCAATATGACCATTTAGATCTCGAATTGTCTGATCAATTCCGTCAATATTCTTTCATCGTGTAAAATTTAAACAATCCCGGGTCATTGTTATTGAGCTTGGACTTGGGTCAGTTTTCCTTGAGTAAATGATACATCAAAACTATATTCTTTTCTTATAATTACTCCTCTCTGATATTTTAATTAATATTATTTCTATAATCTTTATAATCCTTCCTTTATTATTATTATTATTATTAACAGTGATGGTTGATCAATTATTCATTAATTTTGTTGACATCAATTATTACTACCACTATCTTTATTTGTTATATTGCAACTTTCTTTATTCGTATTATTATTATTGCTACTATTACATTACTATTATGTCTATTATTTTGAATCCTCTACGTGGCCTGCAAATAAAATGTGCGGTTGGATATTACTATTTTTGTACTTAAAATCAAATTCTGATTGGCTAATTTGAATTTCACGCGCATGAATTTCAAATTGACGCAGATTCCCAAATTCACGCACAACATACCTTTTGTATAATAAAAAAACTTAATGGTCAAGTTTCTTTGAAAATGTTGTATGTGAAATGAAATATGGAGGGATGGGTGTGTTTCTTTGTAAGCATTATGAGAAATAACGATAAATCAATTTATTATAAAATGCGGGAAATTTTCATATTATTTTGGGTAAAAAAAAAAAACAATTGCTAGTGCTATGACTAGAGATGGGCAGATCAGTACTATACGTATAATACTATACGTATAGTGATACGTATAGTGCGTA